GAGGGGTGAAGACGGACCCGGGTGGCGGGGGAGCGGCTGTCCCCGCTGCTGCTGAGGGAGTGGGGGTGGGGGCGGGTGCCGAGCCGGGGTGGTCGCAGCCCCCACCCCGGTTCTCCGGCCCTCGGCCCCCGCGCAACCAGCCCGACCCAGCCGCCGCTGCTCCGGCTGTTTGTGTTGATGCAAGACGCTGGCGGAGGGAGGGGCCCAACAGCTGAGAGGATGTAAACACTGTCGTCACGTGACCCCGCCAAGGACTGGGGGAAGCAGTAGGTCTCGCAACAGCGCGCGGCCGCGAGGAGCGTCACATGACGCGGTGATTGGCTCCGCTCCTCGGCGCCGGCAGCCAATGAGAGGCCCGCCCTGCTGGGGCTCGTCACCTGTAGCCAAGGGGCGGGAGAAGGTTCCCCCTCCCCCCCGGACGCTGAGGCGCCGGCCGCGACGCTGCTCTTAAAGGGGCAGGGACGCGGGAAATGGGCTAACCCGGTGCGGGTGGGGCGCCCTGGAGCCTCGTGCAGCCCCAGCGCTGTAGGCCCCTAGGAGCGCCCTGCAACGAGGTATCCGGGGCACAGGGAATTTTTTTCTTCCTAGCGGGCAAGCCCGCAGTGCCCTGGCTGGAAAGCACTTTGCTGGGCAGCAGGAGAGGACCCTAGGGTGCATCTACACGTTCATTAACACACCTTAAATACTGTAATCGGAACTCGTGACAGAGGTGCTCTCTCTTAATTTTTTTAAACATCTAGTTAGTCTAATAAAACAACAATTCTTTCTTTGCAAGCTTTCAGGTGCACACACCCTTCCTCCAGCATAGGAGAATGCAAAAGATGTACAATTACACCTCAGTGGAAATGAACCATTTGTATTTCACAGCAGAGCTGAAGGTGGTGGAAGATCTCCTGGTTGGAATAGCTCCTTGTGTGTAAATGAGGCACAGATAAATGTAAATAAAGTACTAATTAAATGCGCAGTAACTGGAGTTAGCACAGTGGCGCTGTGGCATGGTTATTTTGTAATGCTTACCGCGCACTAACCTAATAACACCATGCTGGGGGCTGTTAGTATCTACAAGGGTATAGGGCCTGGGGCAAATTGGCCTATAAGGCCCCTTAAGAGAGCCGGGAGATGCAGGCTGCAGAGCAGGATGGAGGTGGCAACCCTAGCCCTGGCGCTGAGGGTGCTGCCACCTGCAGCGCAGGGCAGCTGAGGTAAGGGCTGCACCAGGCTGGGTTGGGGATGCCCTCTCGGGGGGGGGGGCCAAGCTGGGCTGCGGTGCCTGGCAACCTCACAGGGGCTCCAGGTCAGGCTGTGCCACAAGATGGATGCTAGGCAGCACCTCTGCCACAGCCCTCTGATGTCAAAATGCAAGGTCTGGGGTGGTTGCCTTTATTTGCCATACCCTAGGAACAGCCCTGATTAGCATGGTTTTTAACCTCCACACTACTCCACAGTATCATTAGGCTAAGCATCACAAAATAACTGCGCTGGCACTACTACGCAGTAACTCCAGTAAACTCATTAGCGTTTAGTTATTTACTTTGAGCCTTATTTGCACAAAATGAACTATTCCAATCAGGAGACCTTGCAACACCTTCAGCACTCATGTGAAATATGGATTTTCATTTCCACCCAAGACCCCAGATAGCCTAGTCTTCTGCTAAGAAAAGCCCCGAGGAGTGAAGAGAGCCTCCCCAGACCCTTAGAAAATGAAGCAGGGAAGTCACTGGAAAACATTTGGGACTTGAGGAGACAAGAAGCATGGGGGAGCGCTAAGGCCTGGAGCCTGATGGCCCAGAGCAGCGAAGATGGAGGA